ATGAATGCACGTCCGCGACCTAATTTATGCTGACCCACAGTTCAAACATATAATTGGTACGTTGTTTAGAGAATAATGCGATAACATCTTTGGACAATTGGTCCTATTTGTCGGATGTATGTTCTTTGAACCAGGTCTAGTCACGCTCTTCCCTTTCGAGGACAATCGTATGGTTTCGGGACAAGGATAATGTAGAATTTCATTTTGTCTTGGTCAAACAAACAAACAAAAACAAAACATTGTAAAAGTATTGATATCTCCGTTAGAAATAAATGGACCCCTTGCACGTATCGGGTAAAGTTTAACAATTTTAGATTACTAATACATTTTAAGCTAAAATACAGGGTTGTTCACCACATACGACACGGAGTATTGTAGCTGAACGATTAGATATTTGCAAATTGTAAGTTTTGTGTTTGTTGAAGGACTATTAGAGTTACGTGTATTGGTGAGGTAGTAGTTTTTTTTTAAATATTTTTAAAAGATACAGAGTGTCCCAAATAAATAAAAAATATCAAAGTTTTATTATTTTAAATCGAACACTTTGTATATTATTACATTTTTAGTTTCTACGATTAAAATAAAGGTAAATTTTATTAAGGTTAGCATTTTAATCTCACCGGTTTTGAAATATTTAGGTTTTTGTCAAAATACAGTAGGTAATAATTTTAATGCTTCATTTCTCCAAGGTTATGAAAGTTTTTAATGCTAAATATTGAAAATTATACTACCATATACAAAGTTTTTATTTTTTTTAAATAATTACTAGGTTTAAACGGTAATAACTTGTTTAATTTAAATGGAACACCTTGTATATTTTGTGAGACTCAGATGCACAATTTAATTGTTTATCAAATTATATTATACCATTTTTTACCTATTATATATAAAATGCATTTTCTTATAATTTAGACTTCATTTATCAATATATCCATGGAATATTGACATTATAGATTATTTTTAAAGATGTAACAAATTTTTCAAGAGTACAAACACTAATATTGTCGATGTAGTAAAAAATTAAAAAAAACTGGTTAAATATTTGTTAAACAGGACCAATTAATATGATTCCAGTATTCAAATTACATTAATTGACTATTTACGTTGATTAATAATAATTGCTCCAAATACTAAAAAACTGAATTTGTGTGTGTATTAGACAGTGTGGTAAAAAGTAACACCTTAAAAATTTTATTTAATTTTTTGACGAATGCTTATTTATAACAAGAGAGACGTTCATTTTCATAACTTATTATTATATTGATTCCTGATTCAAAGCCACATTTAATTTTAATAATTTATTCACTAACATAATTAAGTATGTAATTAATTAATAATTGGGCGGAAATAATGGTGGTATATTTAATTAATGGTATACTCTTTTATGAAGATTTAAGCAGTTTTTTTTGTATACAAATGGGTTAGGAATATTATCATTTTTAGCACCTGTACATTTTGTAAATTTCTTTAAAAACAATCTGAAATGTCGATATTCCATGGGTATATTGATAAATGAGGTCTAAATTATAAGAAAATGCATTTTCTACGAAAACTTGAAGGGATAGATAAAAAAATGGTATAATGCAATTTTATAGACAATTAAATTGTGCATCTGATTCGCCCAAAATATACAGGGTGTTTCATTTAAATTAAACAAGTTATTGCCGTTTTTAAAGCTAGAAATTATTTAAAATAAATTTTTAGACACTCTGTATGAGGTAGTATTATTTTTATTATTGCAATACAATAACTGATCAATAAATAAACTTCAGTAAATATTTAGTATTAAAAACTTTGATACCCTTGGGGAAAGAAGCCTTAAAATTTTTACTGCAATTACACAAAATTGAAAATATTTCAAAAACGGCAAATTTACCTTTATTTTAATAGTGGAAACTAAAATATAACAATTTACAGGGTGTTACATTTAAAAAAAATACAACTTCGATATTTTTATTTATTTGGGACACTCTGTATCTTGTAAAAATATTTTAAAATTGTAGCTGTAATAGTCCTTCTACGAACCTAAATCTTACAACCTAACCAAACCCTTTTTCTTTTTTCAGGAACGCTAGTTCATCGTTGCTGATTCCGCCCGTATTGATGAAGCCGGAAGGCAGAAACACTGAGTGTCTACGGGTAGTTGTATTTTAGCCATGTTTCATGGCTAATCTTACTGTAGATTGCCCAATAATTTCATTCTTCTTTTTTATTATAGTCCCCACGATAACATCTTTTATTTACATTTTGTACAAAATCCATCTGATAACAGGCTACAACCTTATTTCATATACAATTTTTGTATCTTATATCTGTACTGAAATATAGATAAGATACAAAATACGTATTTTCAATATATATTTGAATTTTTGTTTGTTAATTTCATCTTGTGTCTTGTATTTAGTAGTGATGGGAAAACCCAATTAATTTCAATAATCGAGTACTCGAGTATCAAGCGATTGCAATAACCGAGTGATCATTCGAGCGAAATATCACTCGTATTTAAAAATACGGTTTTCACCCGTCCCATGTTGCAAGTACTCGGGCTAATCGATATTCGGAATTTTGGAGTTGCGCTGTTGCACCAGTGTCTGCCTAACAGATGAACTTATGTGAAATATACATGAACCGGTTATCTATTCGTCTTTAACTCGGCTTCAACTCCAACACATTGCAGGGATAGGCGATAATAAGTATATATTTGATATGTATATGGCGGCGGGCGATTCGCTTGATCGCTTGATTTAGTTTATTTCGAAGCATTGTCGATGTAGGCCGTAAAATTTTGTCCCTCAGATACGCAACGGATAAATATACCGGATGCGTCTCAAAAGTGGCTCACCCCTATAACTTTTTTAGTTTTTACAGATAAAACAACGAGATTTGGTATGTTAGTATATAACATAAATTAGGATTGATTGACATATTCAATTGTTTTGGGTCATTTCCGGTTTCACCGGAAATGATTACAACTTTTGATTTTTAAATGGCACCCTGAGTATTTTTGTACTTTATTCGATAGAAAATGACACTCTGAATAGAATGACATATCACATGTCAACTTTTGACATTTTCGCATATGGTTTATTTGAAATTGTAACATGCGGTTCATAACGACAATTTGATGAAAGTACCAGAAATTCTTTTTCGAAATATGCCAATGAGCCACCTTCGTTCCATTTGAAAAAAATTGAGATATGATCAAAAATACGCTTTCGGCATCTTTTAAACCGGCCAGGGCAAGACACTAAAAACTTTAGATGATCAAATATATTTTTCCAAGGCTCCTTGATTAAAAATTAGTGTTTTTAACACAGCCATGGCAAGTTGACATATGATACGTCATTCTATTTAGAATGTTATTTTCTATCGAATAAAATAAAACAAAAAACCGGGGGTGCCATTTAAAAATCAAAAATTGTTGTTATTTCCGGTGAAACGGGAAGTGACAGAAAACAATTGAATACATCAATCAATCCTAATTTATGTCATATACTAACATACCAAATCTCATTTTTTTATCTAAAAAAAAATAAAAAAGTTATAGGGGTGAGCCACTTTTGAGACGCACCCGGTATATACGGCGTCTTATAAATTTGCTACCTGCAATGTATGTAGAAAATTCGCTCGGCTTTTTATCGAGTAGGTCACATTAAAATCGGATTTCAATTTATTTCATACTAGGATCGCTTGCGTTCGTCGTTTGGTACTCGTCACTTGCATCGCTCGTTCATAATCGAGCGATGTCGGTTATTTCAATAATCGAGTACTGGAACGAAGTTTCGCTCGAGTTATCCCATCACTAGTATTTAGATTGACTTTTTAGTACTTTAGTATTTTATAAATTCTTAGTTTGCTAAAATACTTTTACTGATTATTATTACATATACATATTTTTTATTTTACGGCATCCTATCATATGTGTCCGTATTAGGTGTTACAAAATATCTAAGGAACTTTTGCAAGATTTTAAACTGAAAAAATGAAAACGTTGAAACTACCCCCTTTTAAAGAAAACGAAATACATTTTTAAAGTGACTATGTAGCTTGATCAAAGCCAATAGCAGAAGCCATGTATAGAATGTAGAATGTTTAGGAGGGGAGTTAATCACCGCAACCGTACAGATCTATTGTGTGTTCCCCTTTCTTGAGTTTTAACGAGTTATAACTCATCATACAGCCTCAAGGCTTTAACAAAAGCTAGTATCTCAGACGGTTCCACAGAGCCCAGCTCTCCATCCTCGTTATCATCAGTGATAAGGTGTTCTGGTGTTTCCCCATTTTTCTCACAGAATCTGCATTCGCTGTTGTTTCTCAGCTTCAGCCTACTGAGGTGTTCGTTGAGGAGACAGTGTCCTGTTAGAAACCCCGTAACAATTCGAAGATTGTTTTTACTTAAATCAAGGAAAATCTTTGATTTTTCTCGGTCGCCGGTCGAAGTCCTGAGGAACTTTTTCGAGTGTCTTAGACCGTTGGAGGACCCCCATTCCAGGTTACGGATGGAATCTTCCAGGTTCTTCAGTTCCGCTTTTAGTTGATTTCCGCTTGGAAAAAAGAAGTTTAGTTGATTTCCGCTTAGAAGAACTAGCAAGTCATATTTTAAAATTGACAAACATGTTCTACGGATTGACACCAAGTAAAATCAAACAACTTGCTTTCGAATATGCAGTTGCAAATAACTTACCACATAATTTTAACGTCGAAAAGAAAACCTGCGGTAAAGATTGGCTGCGTGGTTTCTTAGCACGGCATCCACGAATTTCTCTCAGATGTCCAGAAGCTACCAGTCTTAACCGAGTAATTGCGTTTAATCGAAAAGATGTGAACTTATTTTACGACAATTTAGAACTAGTCTTTGAAGAATATAAATTTCCTGCAAGACGCATTTATAACGTGGATGAGACGGGAATTAGTGGAGTACATAAACCTCATCGAGTTTTGGCGGAAAAAGGGAGAAAACAGGTGGCGAAAGGGGTCAGACAACCACTGTTGTATGTTGTATGAGTGCCGCAGGAGACTTCGTGCCGCCAATGTTTAATTTTAAACGCGAACGTATGAATGTCGCTCTGGAAAAAAATGGATCTGTAGGTGCAATCTACCGTTGCTCGAAATCAGGATGGATCACTGAAGATTTATTTCTGGAGTGGTTAAAGCATTTCGCTCAATATGTAAATATCTCTACTGTAGATCCAGTGTTAGTAATTTTAGATAATCATGCCACACACTCTTCCTTGAAGTCTTATAAATCCTGCCGTGAAAACGGGATTGTTCTTGTTTCACTGCCCCCACACACTTCCCACCGGCTCCAGCCTCTGGATGTCACATTTTTCAGTTCACTAAAGACAGCATATAGTAAGGAATGCGATCTTCATATGAAGACCCATCATTATAGCAAAATTGAAGTGACTGACATCGCAGAGCTCTTTGCCAAAGCTTATAATCGCATCACTTCTAAAGAAAAAGGTTTAAATGGGTTTAAAAATACGGGTATATTTCCGTTAGACAGAAACCTATTTGGTGAGGAAGAATTTACTGAAATGTCAGTAGAAGCAACAGTAGGAGCAAATTCCGACATCGAAAGAGAAGCTAGCGAATTAAGCTTTTCTCCCGAAAATTCCGTTTATTTAGATTCGAAGCCCGGAACTAGTACGGCTTCAGACTCACCATATGTACCAACCAAAAGCTACTATAAAAAATATATGCGTCAAACTACACCGCCACTGGAAACCTATAATACGAAGCCGCGTGCAAATTTAGAGAAAAAAAAGCGTCAGCGCAGGTCATCTTCCAGCGATAGCTTTTCAACAGACATTACAGACGAAATCTCCGACGAAAACGCAACCGATGATGGAGACAAGACCGTTCTATTAAAGGGTACATCCTTTGAAGACTTTCATCCCACACCCCGATTAATAGAAAAACCACTCTTTAAAAAAAGAAAACAAATGTCCCAAATACTAATATCCACTCCGCTGCAGGCATCTTTAGAGGAAAAAGAAGCAAAGAGAGAGAAAAAGAAAGTTGACGAAGCCACAAAAAAATTATTTCAACAAGGAAGATCGGTGGGATTTAAAAAGACAGCAGCTAAAACACAAATTAAGGACAAGTCTAAACGTAAACAGCAACATGGAGAGTGTATGAAAGAGAACGATTTATGTCCAATATGCGTAGAGACTGGAAGGACAGATGAACTGTGGTGGCGGTGCAGATCATGTGGTACTTGGCTTCATGCTGCCTGTACTGCGGTATCTCAGCCAGAAGACTTGGATTCGTGTATAGAACGTGAATAGACATTGATCGATATTATCCTCCTATAATCGATATTTCCCTCCTACATGATCGATATTAACCGACCATAGGTGGATAATATCGATCAAGTTATAGTTTAGTATTTTATATTTTTCACATTTGCCTAATCGAAATACAGAGGATTTGTTTATGTTATTATCTTGTAAAATGAATAAAGTTTAAGTTCCATACAGAAAATAATACTATTTTTTGAAATTATTGCTCTTTTGTCTTCAAATATCTGTTAAGTGATCGATATTCGACCCCTTTCCCCTAGTATCTTATATTAATTATATTTCAAGTAATAAACTTAAAGAAATGAAAATTTTACTAGTACGTACTAAATTTAAAAATTAGGCTAGCTTTCTAAATTCTAAAATGCAGTCGAGATCATAAATTTTATTGTAATTAAACTAAAATTTCTACTTTAAAATGTTTTAATCAAGTAAATTATATAATCCGTTACTAACTCTCCTCATTTCCGCTTCCCTTCATACCATTTTAAAATATGTTATTTAAAATCCCCTCCGAAAACGTAATTATAATTAACTTTAGTGAAATGAATAAAATCGCAGTAATATACTCATATATTGCTTTAGAATATAGTATATTCAATGCAACTTCCTGTGTTTTGGAGCTCGTTGCTATGAATTAGGAATGGCCACGTCGACTGCAACACCACCTAATACTTCAGAGCCCTAGTCTTTGACAATGTTGCAAAGAGGTTCATTGTAAATGACGACAATACAAATATATAATAGGTGTTGTAATACAGATATGTTTTATAAACACAGTTTAAAAATGTAAAAATACAAATATGTAGTTACTATCATATTATAGAGTGTCATAGATAGAGTGAAACTTTTTTACGCGCGATGGGGGTAAAAACTCAAGGCCGTGACACACAAGCTAGCGTCACGCGAAGCGTTACGCCAAGGTCGCCAAGCGTCACAAAAAGGGACTGGGGGGCTGAAACTCGAAATCTAGATGGAACTCAAAGAACCCCATTTTTTCATATTTTTCACAGTTAGATTGACCTAAGAACCGGCAAAAGTTGATGTCCGATCGCGACCAAATTTGGTGGATAGGCTATGTGAGCGACGGTGTACACGGTCCCACCTTTCTTCATCAGGATGGGACTAACGATTTGATATTGAAGAAATTGGTCATACACATAATTGGGGACGGGCTACAGAATGATGCCCTCGACGTTTCGAACCGATGCCAATGCCCCTAAATGGACGAAATGATCAGGATTTTTCCTAATTATGGGTCGATTGGATTCAAACTCGGCACGTGGATAGAAACACCCGAATGGAGTTCTCAGACAGACAGACAGACAGACAAAAGTAAGAAGTTTCACTTAAAATACGCTCACATAGTGCACACACATCTTTTTTTTATTTATCGGTTTAGATGAAATTAAACTTTGCCGTTGGTTTTTGCTTTAAATTGGCCGAATTTTAGTAGACTAATTTACCATCAGACATCTAAATGAACGAATTTTAAAGTCTAAAAATTTCGTAATTTTTAACCTGTCGCAGTCGATTCTCGTGGTAGAAGCAGCACAAATGAGTGTAGTCGATTTATTAATCAACTATTTATCTAGTGGTCAAATATTCAGTTAAATTTACTCAATCAATTTTAAATAATTTCATTTTAATAAGTTTTGAAAGAAAGAAATTTAGTTGTAAAAAATTAGACTAAAAATGATGAGAGGTATGAAAAACTTACATCCCCATTTATCGACATGCCATAATAGAATTCATATTTGTACAAGCTGGAAACTTACATATATAATTGTTTGGTTTACATATTGCCCCTATGTGGTCTGATAAAATAAGAATACAGAATGTAGAATGAGTGGAAGTGGGTTAATCACCGCGACCTTAAAGATGTATTGTGTCCCTTTCTCGAGTTATAACTCATCATATGACTAATCGAGTTATAACTCATCATAGATGGGGATCTTCCCACTGTAGGGGAGGCAGGGTATTTCCCATCCTCCTCTGATAACAACTGTTCATACTCCGAGGACTGGACGACGTAACTTCTACGAAGGTATATACCCCCCACGGTTAGGGTATAGCCCTCCGTGATCTTCACAGTCGAGGAGCATGTCTCCAGCTCAGGTGCCCTTAAGGTGGAGGCTGGAGGATCTGTCTCCATTTTCCTCTTTCTCTATTGCCTCTGTAATATTTTAGAGAATGTGCGTAAAATATTATGGAAATAAAACAACTAAACTTTTCAAACCCCTGTTTAATACTAAAACTTCATTGTTGTAGGTTCTTACTGCAGATTTTGCTGCGGCAATATCAATCAGATCTACAAATTTGGTAGACTTCTTTTCTTCCATGAGCCTATCTTGCACTGGCCCAGGATTGAACCCCACTACAAACATGTCACGCAACACTAACTCTAGTTGCCCTGCTTCAAAGTCACAAAGTGAAGCTAAACTGCGTAACCGGGCTGCCCACTCACGAAAGTTTTCGTTTTGAGTTTTTACGGCACGATAAAATTTGTATCTTGCAGCAAAAATTGACGAAGGAGGCTTAAAATGTCCGGTAATTAATTTTACAAGTGCATCGTAACCTTTTTTTCCTGGTTCCTCAGGTAAACGTAGATCAAACACTAACTTGTAGGCGTCTTCACTTAAAAGGTTTAATAAAATTGTCCTTTTCCTAACTGCATCTTTAATTTCGTTAGCCGCAAAATAATTTTCAATGCGTCTTTTATATATTGACCAGTCGGAATTTAGAGGATCAAACTCGCGCAAATGTCCGACATTTTCGGTTGAGGTTGGCGTGGCAGCTGTCGCCATTGTCTTCAAAAAAACAACTCGAAAAACGCTAATCACACTTTATCGACACAATCGTGGGTTTTTCAAATAAAATCAGAGTTTAATATGAAACCCGATTGTATGTTCTCGTCGCCACTGTAATATTTTAGAGAATTTGCGTAAAATATTAATGAAAATGTTACAGTTAAGGATAACAGAAATGTACAAAAACCTACTTGGATACGTGGTAAAATTTATAAAAAAAATAGGAAAATGTATGTACTTGGTAAAAATTCCTTCATTAATTGACATTATTTGGAAGCGTCATTTAAATCAGATAAAGAAATTTTTTATTAATGAATCAGCTATTTCTAAAGAATTAATTGATAAACAAGGCGTAAGTCATAATGAGGGAATTTTCCAAGAAAATTCGATTGTGGACTTAACATCTCCTAATAAAGTTGAAAAAACTAATTCTGATTTCAGTGAAAATCGGCCTAAACGTTTAGTGAAACCAGTGCGGCGTTTAATGTATAATAAGTTTTTTTTGGAGGAGGGAAGTGAGATGTAATCTTCTAGCATTATAACAAATGCTAATTGTAAATGTGATGTGTAAATATAAGTAAGCCTGGCGACATTGTATATTTGCTTATGAGCAGAAACATTCCATATTTTTTGTAGCATATACATCTCTCGCTTCATAGCAGTTAGTATTAAGTATTAAACGGGGTTTTGAAAAGTTAAGTTGTGTTATTTCCATAATATTTTACGCAAATTCTCCAAAATATTACAGCCTCCTTGGATTTGAGGTCAATTTCTATTGTGAGGACCTGACCATGGTCCTCCTCTCTCGAGTTGATGACTCGCCAACTCGATGTCCTTACATTGGAATTCTGGCAAAGTTGCGATACACCGCTAAGGTTAGTCGGTCTACTTCTACAGAGACTCGCATGTAAAAAACGAGAATACAATGAGTTGCCTCCTGGTGCCCCAAGGTTGAGACCAGTAGAGGCTAGCCTATTATCTAACCACGCATCCCTTTGATCTGGTCCCGCCATCAGAGGATTTAGGTTTTCGGTGAGGTTGTCTCCTCCTGGTTTGGGCGGTTAAACTAAGACCCCTCCCACCCTCTGCCCGTGATACATGATCACAGACAGTAGAGAGTGCCTGGTGTGATGGACAGGGTAGTCCCATCCAGCATCGTTATACGTCTTGGTGCAATTCCCTCACCACGACACTACAGACACGGTACAAGTGTACTTGGGCCAAATACACTTATAGTCTGCCATATAACTGTACTTATAGTAATGTTGCCCACTCACTTGTACGCTGCTTGTATCGTATTAACAGTTTTATCCATGTCAAGTTTGAAGGCAGTGTAAATTAAAATAATAATATAAGTTACTTGTATATACTAATAATCGATTAATTAGGATAAAAAAATACCCCAGTACTACCCTTTACCCTAATGGAAAATACGGAAGCAAAAACGGGTAGAGTTAGTAACACCGTTACTTATACTTAACAGAAGGAACGGATTATATAGGCTACCTGATTAAAAACGTTCTAATTTAGAAATTTTAGTTTAATTACAATAATAATTATGATCTCGACTGCATTTAAAATTTTTGTACCCCAGCACTATCCTCTACCCTAAAGGAAAGTACCCTTTCATAACTGTTACCTACGGGTTTTTATACTCACGCCATTTGCTTTAGCAATAAAATGTGTCTAATAGTACCAAATTTCAAGAAAAACGGTTCACCAATGTTCTTAAAATTATATAATTTTCAAGACCTATAGTAGCTAGTTACCTACTATAGTTTCAGATTCATTTTAGAAAACGTTTTGGGACACATAATATTAATAACTAACATGATACATAAACAGAAGTGAAGCTTTTCTAATACTTCAAAAATATTTTTAATGACACTGGAGATATAAAACGTTGAAATTTTATATACTATCCCTATACAGATAAAAGGAAGTTTTAAAACTTTAGTCGTTTAGGAAATAATTTATTGAAACAAAAAAGCTTTAGTCTTTACCATAAATAGAAAATTCCTGTGAACATCGTACAAATACTATTATTACTCAGGTATTTTGTAGACATAAAACTTCTGAAGTATATCCTGAAGTTCTACAATTTACAACCTTTTTTAGAATCCATAAAATAAAACACTATATAAAATTGAATTTTCCAATAGAAAACGAACAGTATTT